GGTAACAGGGGCTAACTTCACCAGGTAATTTAATCACAGACAAATAAATCTGAACAGAGGCCCCTTTGAGAGAAGCATCACTAACCTTTAAAGGAGTCGATAAAGATTCCCTCAAGGAAGGATTTGTCTTTGCCAGCCTTGATGTGCTTCAGGGCATCTCGCTCAGGAGTCAGCTGTCTGCTTTGTTGTTCCACATCATCTGGAAAGTCCAAAAACATTAAATATTAAATCTCCGACAAGACTGTTGTAGTTCTCACATATCCTGCTCTTATAAAGCCATTTACTAGACATGAAATAATCGTTGAAATCAAGTTGTGTAATTTCAGTCTGACACTTTTTGAGTTTTCAGTGTCTGAGCGCAGCACATGGTGGTGAATCTTGAAGGTTTTTCAATGCATTTGTGTAATATGGGTAAGTGAACATCTACAGGCTACAGCAGACTGTAGGAAATAAAGTTACTCAGCAACTGACAATAGAAGCTGACGGAATAATCAAGACACTGAAGTGGAAACCCTGTTTGATACAAAGTTGTCATTTCTGGCATATTTGGTAGTTTCATTTAAAAAAATATAGAAACTTTATGACTCATTTGTGTAAAAATAAAGCATATATCTAAGCTACAAAAAAATAGATGAACAGAAAACAGGTGTATTATTACATTTACAATGACAATCTTTGCCCACAATTCTATTTTTTTAGCATCTATAATGCTGTATAATACAGACTACATCCTCTGGTGTTCTACACAAAGAAATATATTTTATGTTTTTGTGCTTGAAATTCCTGTAAAGTTAAACAAATACTAAAGGATTAAGTATTGTAAAACAGTGAAATGTCCTCCCTGTGATTCATATCTTTGCTGTTGTAAGCATTAAGGGACCAAAAAAGAAGCTATTTTATTCATTATATATTTTTTAAATGAAGCGGCCAATTAATCGGTTATCAGAATTTTTTTTTTGCCAAATATCAGAATCAGATTAATAGGTACAGAAAGAGTTTATCTTCATAACATACCGCTCTCTGGAAGTAGAAGCTCCGACTCTTCATTGTCCTCTTCAGCATCCACGCTTTCGGGGTTGCCCTGCTCCACGTCAGGCTCCAATTCATCTTGAATAAAAAGAAAAAACAGAGAATGTATTTAATTATCATATAAAAGCATTTCATTTGTTTGTACTTAACAAACCCTGGCAGGATTCATACTGGACACATACCCTCAATTTCAATTTCCTCCAGAGAGTTTCCTTTGAATCTTTCCAGAGAACCTTTTTCCATTGCCAGAAGCAGTTTGGCAATTTTTGCAAGTTCAACCGCCGCCTCTGGCAGACGATAGTAGTCCCTGTCAGCCAGGATGCCTTGGCCGAGCAGTTTACCGAGGTGATCGAGCTCGTCGTTCTCCAGGTTAAGAATCTGGAAGATTCTCGCGGTGTGCTTGTGAAGATGCACCGACCTGAGATGCTCCGGGTGCTTTGCACGGCACAGACTTGAAAACGCCCTGATGCAGTTGCCTCCGTGGTAGTGGCTTGTTGAGACGCATTCTGGCTTCGCAAACAAGAAAAGGTTTTCTTCATGTACGTCACATGCATGCCTCTTGCTCACAAGCAGCGTTAAGGCATTGACAAGTTGTGACGTCAACAAAACCGCGACATTCTGGCCTGTCTTGCTCAGAATATTTATCCTGATGAAGTGCTTGGACAGCACTCGGGTAGTGTCGTCTCTCTCCTGGAATGCCTTCAGGGTCATTTTTGAAACTTCGGGTGCACATTTGTTTAAGATCGATGCCTGTGCAAGTGTCACCCTGCACAGAGCACCGTACACCTGAGGGCTTTCATTCACTGTCATGCTCTCAGTGGCAGAGGCCGACGCTTTTTCCAGATACGTGTAGAAAGCCTGGACGTCTCGCGTGAACGGTATCGTAGACGGACTGTTTGCTTTCCTCCTCCTCAACGAAGCGACAGCGGTTTGAGAGACGAGTTCAGTCCACATCTTTTCACACAGATTCATGAATGCGTTTGTGTCTTTCACTATCTTCTTATTGCTCACGGCCCCACTGACGAGAACGTCGACGAAAGTTTTGAGCGAATTTCCCAATTTCAAAGCCAGACTTGGGTTCTTGTAGGTCTGCTCCTCTACATTGAAACCGGCAAGGTTTTTGACAGCGTTGACAACTTTGTAGAAGTTATGGGGTTTGATAACATTTTCAAAGCTAAATATGGACTTTTCATGCAGCGCTAACAAGAGTCTTCCCATTTCTCTCAGCTTCTGTCGGATGCAATCGTGCATACTTGGATCGTTTCCGTACTCTTCTGACAAACTCTGGGCCATCTGTATTAGAAGGGGATCGTTTTGAACTACGAATGCCACCTCGTCTTGTTTCATAGCGCTAAGTATCTTCCACACACCAGATGGAAGATTTTGTGAGACGCCTGACTCTGCTAGAGGACTCTCACTTAAGTCGGCCGCCTTGCCACATGCAGACGCTGCCATTTTCTTAACACATCTGTTTACGTGCCTCCATATTTCACTGCGTTTCAGCATGCCTTTACAATACAGGCAGTGGACAAATTTTGTTGTATTCACTGCCTCAGCTTTTGGTCGTCTTCTCAGTTTTAGCACTCCGGTATTACTCTTTAACACCTCTTGATTATGTCTGAAGTTTCCTCTGTTTCGTAACTTGTCAAGCAGCCTTCTACGTTCGGCTGATCTTTTGTGTAACGCGAAAGCTGCGGCGATATCAGGTTCTTCGTCAGCATGCCCCCTAAGATGACGAGCGATTTTCTTGACACCTTTCCCGCATACATAACAATAATTTTTAACAGCAAAAGACATGTCTTTGCTCTTCACTTTAGCACGGCAGCTGCGCTTTAGTTCAGATTCACTGGGTTCATAGTCTTCATCTGACTCGTGATCATTGGAGCTCAAAGCAGACTCTTCATCATGCCGGATAGGTGAAATGTCGCCTCGTTGCTGTGGGGTTCCTGCCATGTCATGAGAAGAATCTAGACTGGTAAACGGTGAACTGCCCCTGAAGTCCAGCCCAGTTTTGACGTTGGTAAAGCTGTCACTCCCACGACTTGGTCCGGGTAGTTCGTCGTCGTCATCGGAGCAAGATTCCTCAGAATTTGAAGCAGCCGAGTCATCATCCTGGAAATGCAAACCAGAAATTTGATGCACAGAATACTGTCCTTCAATATCACACAGACACTGTCAACTATAGAGGCTTAGAGGTATATGAGAGTAGACCAAGGACGCTGTAGAAAACACAAGCATACTGTAAGGATGCTGTACTAACTGTAGCCAGAAACTGTAGCATTGGCTCATGTGCTGGAGTGGCCATTAAAACAACAGGAGAAAGTCTGTAAGCATCAAATGCCACGTGCCAATTTGTTGTTTACATACTCTTTTGTTCTTTGGTGTTGATGAAGCTACATAAAAGCCTGTGTTTGAAGTGCTTGAACCATCGCAGTCCTCCTGGAAATGTTGAAAGAGACAGAAAAAAGATAACTAATGTTAATATTTGAATATTATTCCATAGTAACTTATGTGAAAACTACATTAAATCAATATGTAACCGCAAAATAACACACAAAAGTTAAATTACTTATAAATCGTATTTTATCATCTTGTTTTCACAACCAACAACTTTGTCTGTCATTCTGGCTTAATGTTCATTTTGCATCGTCTGTTTTGATTTCCAAAGACCATTTTGTCTTTCATAACTCCTCTTAGAAGTTTTTATTTTAATTTTTGGGGATATCTGTAGTTTCTTTTTGAGTCTCTGTTGTCTCTCCTTAGTGGGAATGTTTGTGCTTCAAGTCTGAAGAAGCCAAACACAAATATACGCTTTCATTTTGGACTGAAAAATGTATAAAATGTTATAATTTTTTTTTATTGTTAACCATTTATATGAAGTCTAATGGCATTACAGCAGTGCAGATATTTAAACAGCTCATATTATGTATTTATTGCTTGTTGTTTAATGCTTTTATTTCTTTGCTTTTATCCTGTGAAGCGTCTTTGAGTTCCTGAAAAGCGCTATACAAATAAAATGAATTATTATTATTATTATTATTATTGTTGAAAAAAAAAACAAGATGCAGTTACTTAAATGTGTCTCACAAGATTGAAGCCACACATTTTTATAACACACAACACCTAGTAATTTAATGAAAGTTAAAAATGAAGATCAAGACGGGTAAAGTTTGCTCTAAACAGAGATTAACAAAGTATCGCTGCAACCATTCCAGTTATTTAAATCTGACACAGCGCATAGCTACAGTGGCATTTATTTACGTGAAAGGTCTGAAAATCTGGAATACATGTTTAGTCGAAAACACAGAACATTAATTCAGTGGCCAGTTAATTAGGTACACCCAGCCAAAGCTAAGGCCATCTAATACAACAATCCAGCACTAGGTTTTCACCTCAGGAAGGTTATCATGATTAGTTTTTGTTTAAATGATTATGAGAGAGGTGTTGATTCACTGCGTGGTCACTTTAGAGATTATTTAGATTTTTGATGACACAGGGATTGCCTCCTCCAACCACAGAATAAGTCGACATCTCTCTAAAGCTGTTTCAGCAAAAACTAAACATTAGTACAGAACTGCTGTATTAGTTCGTTTTAGCTGTGTGGACCTAATAAAGTTGGGTGTAACTGTAATACAGAGATCAAAAGCAGGACGTCTTTTAAAATATGAACCCACCGTCGAGCGCCACGGATAGGATGCATCTCCATAGTCGTAGGTTATCTCCTCGCCTGGAGATATTTCCTCCACTGCAAACAGGCACAAGTGTGGCTTCCCCTCACAAGCAACCTTCCTCACTTCACAGTTTGGACTTGTGTGATTATCATTCACAAGCCTTCCAAGGCTCCCGTCCTCTTTCGAAGCGTCAACGCTGCAAGTGAAACACGAACCATTTGTTTTACCGTGCTGTTGTCTTGTGGTCTCCTTAACAGTCCCTTTGCAATAAAACCAAAAAACAAGCAGGTGACTTACCACCATTGTGCGCCTTTCCATGAAAACTCATATAAGAAGCCTTTCAAAGTATCCCCATGTCTCTTCTCAGGCCTTTTGTCTTTTTCACAAATCATTTTTCCACGATATTCAACAACAAACGAGGACGGTTTGATGGTTTTGTGGGTGAACACTCCTTTTCCTAGAAAAGCAAAGATTAGCATAAAATCATAAAGCCTGATCATTTTATTGGCAACCTTTAGAGAGCTGTTCTCAGGGTTTGGTCTGTGGTAATTATTAGACCAAGTGGTAATTCGCATAACCAGGTTCATTGTTTACAGAGATATTTTCAGATTGGCACTCAAATAACAAATCACACCCTCATATCCATCCTACCAAAGTTTAGGCTCTCTGTGTTTGTGGTTAAAGGCTAAATTTACGTTCTTTTTGATAAATGTATTACAGAAACTATATTAAGATGGAAACATTCAAATTTTCCTTTAGTCTGTCTGATTAAACTCAGTGTTATAATATTTCCCAACATGTCTTCTGTTAATATTAAAAAACAGAAATATGAATGTATGAGGACATAATATAAATGAACAACAGCCTGAATAATATAACAATAATAACAATAATAATATTTATTTATTTGCATAGTACCTTTCATAAACAAGTTACAAAGTGCCATACAAAAAACAAATGGGAAATTAGACAAATAATGAAAGCTAATTGAAATAAATAAATGACATCCCAAACATCCAATATGGCCAAAACAAAACAATTATATCAAATACCATCAGTTAAGAAGAAGTCATATGATGAAAGTTACTAAATACTACAGGTTTTCTGTAAACATAATCAATCTGTCAGAAGGTTTTCATAACCTTTAAGATACACACAACATAAAATAGTCTCCACGGAGCTTGTTGCCAAGTAATACCAAACATCTATATCAGAATAGAGACTGACAAATAAAAAAATGTACCACCTACCTTTAAAGGAATCTATAAATCTTTTTTCCAAGAAGGGTTTGTCTCTGCAAGCAACTATGTACTGCAGGGCATCCTGCTCAGGAGTCATTTTCTGGTCTCGCTTCTTCATGGTAACTGAAAAAAATGTAACAAAGACACCAAATTAGGTTTGGTTGATATGACATTTACTGAGCACATAGGCTTTTTGTTGTTGTGGTTTATTTATTTTTTATTTTTGGGGGGGGCGGGCGGTGGGTTCAATGAATGTCAGAGCTGATTGTGGATTACGGCAAGAAGCAACAGAACGCATACCACCCACTCAAGATCAGCGGGACAGAGGTGGAGCGAGTGGAGAGCTTCAAATACCTGGGTGTCAACATCATGCAGGACCTGACGTGGTCCTGTCACATCAACACCCTGGTGCAGAAGTTCCACAGCATCTCTACCTCCTCCAACGCCTGAGGGACTTTAAGCTCCCTCTCAAGGTGCTCAGGAACTTCTACACCTGCACCACTGAGAGTGTTTTGGCTGGGAGCATCACCACCTGGATGGGCAGCAGCACCCAGCAGGACTTCTTGGCCCTGAGGAGGGTGGTCCGCTCAGCTGAGCGCACCATCAGAACCACCCTCCCCAACCTGCAGGACATTTACA